CACCACCCGCAGCATCACTATCACCAACACCACGATCATCACCACCAAAGCCAACATCATCAATACGCCCATCACCACCACCACCACCATCATCATCATCATCATCATCATCATCATCATCATCATCATCATCATCATCATCATCATCATCAGCATCATCATCATCACCTCCATCACCATCACCATCATCTCGATCATCACCAGCATTAGCAACAGCAGCATCACCAGCATCACGCCCATTAGCATCACCAGAATCACCATCACCATCACCACTATCACCGCCACCACCACCTTCATCAGCAACACCAGCACCATCGCTCCTCATGGTCTCAGCACCATCACCATCATCACAATCAGCATCAGCAGAATCGTCATCATGACAAAACCATGACCATCATAGTCATTAGCATCAGCAGCATCATCATCACCACCATGACCATCAGCAGCAGCAACATCATCAGCAGCAACAGCAGCAACATCAGCACCACCACCATCATCAGCAGCATCATCACCATCATCATCAGCATTATCAACATCAGCAGCAGCAGCACCAGCATCAGCATCAGCATCAGCATCAGCATCGGCATCCTCAGCCTCATCCTCATCCTCCTCCTCGTCGTCCTCATCCTCATCATCAGCATCAGCATCATCAGCATCATCATCATTATAACCATCAGCATCACCATCATCACACACATCATCATCAGCATCATGAGCATTAACGTCATCATCAGCATCATGATAATCATCATCATCATCACCACCATCACCATCATCTCATCATCAACACCACCATCATCGTCATCACTTTCATTACCGTCGTCATCATCATCATCATCACCATCACCATCACCATCACCATCACCATCACCATCACCATCACCATCATCATCATCATCATCATCATCATCATCATCATCATCATCATCATCATCATCATCATCATCATCATCATCATCATCATCATCATCATCATCATCATCATCATCATCATCATCACCATCACCATCATCATCATCATCATCACCATCACCATCATCATCATCATCATCATCATCATCATCACCATCACCATCACCACCATCATCATCATCATCATCATCATCATCATCATCATCATCATCATCGTCATCGCCATCAGTTGCAATGCGGCCCGAGCCCTGCTCGCCGTGCCGTGCAACGATTACGCGCACCGATGCTGCCGGTGTGCGCGAACGGGAGGCGGCCCGCCACGCCGGGGCGGCCGCCGCAAGCTCAGCAGACCGGAGGCGGCGGCGGGCCCAGGGGCGTCTGCGGGCCCGCTGGTCCGCCGAGGCGTTACTGCGCCGGGCGCAGGCCGACGCTCACTTCTGGCGGCGGCGTTGCGAGGCCCTGGAGGCCAGGCGGCCTCCGGCCGCCGCCCCCGGGGCGAGGGCCGCGGCCGCTGCCATCGCGGCGGCCCACGGCGGCAGGCCGCTCCGCAGCGCGGCCAGGCCGTACGCCCTGCCGTCGCCCAGCGAGCTCTTCGCGGAAGCGGGCGAGGAGGAGCAGGACTTGGCCTCGGCACTGTGCGTCGTGGAGCCGATCGTCGAGGTCGCGGAGGCCTCAGAGCCGCGCCCCGTGCCGCTCGTCGTGGGGGCCGCGCCTCGTGGAGCCGCTCATCGAGGAGGTCGCGGAGGCCTCGGCGCCGCGCACCGGGGAGCCGCTCGTCGTGGAGGCCTCGGTACCAGCGCTGCGCCTCGTGGAGCCGCTCATCGCGGAGGTCGCGGAGGCCTCGGGGTCACGCCTCGTGGAGCCGCTCGTCATGGGGGCCTCGGTGCCACGCCTCGCGGAGCTCCTCGCCGCGGAGGCCTCGGGGTCACGCATCGGCTCTTGGAGGCCTCGGCGACGCGCCTCGCGGAGCCGCTCGTCGCGGAGGCCTCGGCGCCGCGCCTCTTGGAGGCCTCGGCGCCGCGCCTCGCGGAGCCGCTCGCCGAGGAGGCCTCAGCGCCGCGCCTCGCGGAGCCGCTCGTCGCGAAGGCCTCGGCGCCTCGCCTCGTGGAGGCCTCGGTGCCGCGCCTCATGGAACAGCTCGTCGCGATCATCGCCTTCGGCATCTCGTGCCTCAACGCGGTGACTGGCGCGCCGAAGGACGCAGCCCTGGCCGTCACGTCGGCCTCGCCCTCGGACCTGTGGGAGCTCGGCACGGGCTGCACCTCGGAGGTCGGCACGCTCTTGCTGGCGCGCGCGCGGCCCAGGTCGCAGCTGCCGCGCGGCGGCGGCGCCCCACGCGGGACAAAGCTTCTGCGCGGGCCCCCGCGGCGGGCCGCCGCGACGGCTCGGCGGGCCGCGCGCGGGCGGTGCGCCGCCGCGCGCGGGGCGCCGAGCGCGGCTTCCACCGCGGGGCGGCGCGGCTGGAGAGGGCGAGCGCGGCGGGAGGCCAGGCGGCCCGACGAGGCCGGCGGCGGCGGCGACGGCGGCGGGGCAGGCGGCGCGCCTCGGGGCGCACCCGCGCCGAGGCGGGCGGCCAGGCGCCTCGACGCGGCCGAGGGCGGTGGCGGGGCGCCTGCTCGGCTGAGCCGCCCGAGCCAGCGGCACGCAATTCGAGCCGCTGGGCGCGGCTCGACAAACTCGGCCGATGGCCCCAAGGCGGCCGCCAGCGGTCCTCCGTCGGGGTCTGGGATCTCTCACGTCCGCCGAGGCCGCGAGGGCTCGGGCGGAAGGGGGCGGCCTGACCGCGATGCTCCTGGCGGCCTCTGACACCAGGGGTCATAGCGGAGGGCTGCCCCTGTCTGGGGGCCCGTCCCTCGTCGCCTGGTCTGGCTTGGGCCCCGCGGGGCCCTTGCGACCGTGCATGCCGAATGCAAGGTGGCTGTGCCGAGCTCTGCTCCGAGACCACTCCCATGGAGCCTCATCATCATCGTCGTCATCGTGATTAAAATCATCATCATCATCATCATCATCATCGTCATCATCATCATCATCATCATCATCATCATCATCATCATCATCATCATCATCATCATCATCGTCGTCGTCGTCGTCGTCGTCATCATCATCATCAGCATCATCATCATCATCTTCACCGTCTTCATCAGCATCATCATCAGCAGCATCATCATTCATCATTGTCATCACCATCATCATCATCATCATCATCATCATAATCATCATCATCATCATCATCATCATCATCATCATCATCATCATCATCATCCTCATAATCATCATCAGCATCAGCAGCATCAGCATCGGCATCATCATCAGCATCAGCATCATCATCATCAGCATCAGCATCATAATCATCATCATCAGCATCATCATTATCATCACCACCACCACCATCATCAGCATCATCATCATGAGCATGATCATGATCACTAGCATCATCATCATCATCATCATCATCATCATCATCATCATCACCATCACCACCATCATCATCAGCATCATCGTCATCATCATCATCACTTTCATCATCATCAGCATAATCATCATCAGCAGCATCATCATCAGCATCACCATTCTCATCAGCAGCATCATCATCGTCATCATCATCATCATCAGCATCAACACCATCATCAACATCATCGTCATCATTATCATCATCAGCATCAGCATCAGCATGAGCATCATCATCATCATCAGCATCATCAGCATCATCATCATCATCATCATCATCATCATCATCATCATCATCATCATCATCATCATCATCATCATCAAGCCTGCCTTGGGCGCCAGGCAGGCGGAGAACGCGGCGGGTCTACTCCCCTCGTAGCGGCTCTGTCTCGTTCCCCCTCAGCGGGCACAGGCCATGGACCGAAGGTCGTCCAGGGCGCTGCCCAGGGCGCTGGCTGCTGCGGGCGGCAGCTCACGGCAGGCGATCGCGGCGGCCGTGGCGGCGGCGCTGCGCACGACGCGGGCGCTGCTGGCAGGCGCCGGCTCCGAGGGGGACGCCGAGCTCGCGATGCGTTGGCAGGCCATGGAGTCCGCCATGCGCCAGCAGCTGCGGGGCGCGCAGCTGTGCGGCGGGGCTCGCGCCCGGCGCAGCGGAGGGGCACCCTGGGACCCCTCGGCAAGGGCGGCGAGGCCCTGCGGCAGGCCCTGGCGCAGCCGCAGCGCGCCTGGCGCGGCGGGCGCTGCCGGCCCGCGTGCCGGCGCCGGGCTCCCACGCCGCCGACCTCGTCGGTCCGCCCACGGACCCGCCCTCGAGGCTCGCAGCGGCTTCCCAGGGCAGGGCGGAGGACGAGGACACCTCGGAGGAGCGGGAGGGAGGGTCCCGAGTCGGCCGCCTCCGTGCAGGCAGGGTCCGATGCAGGCTCCCAGCAGCAGCGGCTCGTGCACGTCGTCGTCGAGTGAGAGGGGCCCGTCATGGCGGACAACCACCAGCTGGGCGAGTCGAGCTCGGGGGGCATCTCCTGCGCTGCAGACCGACGCAGGTCGAGGCCTCGCCCGGCGGCAGCTCCAACGGCAACGGGGAGAAGCACGAGAGCAGCTCCGAGGCCGTCGTGAAGACGGCCGTGAGGCGCCTCGACTGGACCTCGGGCGTGAAGAGCTCCGAGCGACAGGTCGAGCGGCGCGGTGGCCGAGCTCCACCAAGGGCGGCGAGCGCCGGCGCGGCAGCCCGTGGCCAGGGCGGAGCCGCTCGGGTGCGTGCGCCTGCCAGCAGCGCAGACTGGCGCGTCGTCCGAGGATGGCGCTTCGACCTCGCGCAGACTGTGCGGCTTGCCGAGCCTGTCAAGACGCTGCCCCCGCCGCAGGCCCCCGCTGGTGGAAGCAGGGCCTCGGCGAGGTGGACGAGGACACCGAACACCTCGGCTTCGAGCGGCAGGGCGACGTCGGCGCCGTGCCGAGCGCTGGCCAGGCGCTCAAGTGTATATGAATGACGACGGGGAGCACGACAGGCACCACCAGCACGACGAGGGTGCGGGCTAGCCCCCTGGCGGCGGCGGCGCGGAGGCGGAGGCGCGCAAGTGGCTCTCGACCGCGCTGCACAGGGCGAGGGAGGAGCTCGCCGCCCTCTCGACCGCGCTGCACAGGGCGGGGAGACGCGCACGGAGCTCGCGGGGGCCGACGCCCGCGTGCTGGAGGCACGGCTCCTCGGCGAGCGCGGCGTGGACGAGGCGAGGGGCCCCGAGCTCGAGGAGCTACGGGCCCAGGTGGCGCGGGGCGCCGAGGAGGGCGCCTCCCTGCGTGGCGCCAGGGCCGCCAGCCGCGCCGAGCGCCGCCCAGCGCTGCTGCTCGAGCTCGGGGACCAGCGCAGGCGCTGAGCTCCCGCCGCCTCGCGGCGGCGGTGGAGCGGCCGAGCGCGGCCAGCCCCACGGCGCCGCGCGGCCCGCCGCAGACCCTGCCACACGCCTGCCCCGAGGGGCAGGCTGCTGGGGCGGCGCATGAGTGCGACGGCGCCCGAGAGGGCCACGGCTCGCGGCGGGGTCGGAGGGTGCTCCCCGTCCGTGCGAGCGACTCTCAGCTGAGGCTGCCGATGCGATGAATTCCCGGCAGCCTTGCATGAGGGCCACGCCGTACGGAGCCACCGCTGCTGCGGATCGCTCGCGGCGGCGGCTCGGCGCACCGAGGGGGCGCTGAGGCTCGCTCGCGCCAGCGCTCGGCACGCCCCATGCACGCGCCTGGCCATTGGGCGCGTGCGCGATGGCCCGCCGTTTCCAGTTTCGCGCAGCTTCCGCGAGGAGACCCGAACCCCTCCATGTCCTCCGCCGATGCTTGAACGACGCAACTGCTGCAGCCGAAGCTCGTAGTCGTCGATGCTTTGTGGCATCATCATTATCATCACCACCACCAGCACCATGTTTATGTTCATCTTCATTGTCATCATCTTCTTCGTCATCATCAGCATCCTCATCATTATCATCATCAACATCATCATCATCAGCAGCATCACCATCATCGTCATCCTGATTATCATCATCACCATCAACACCAACATCATCATGCACATCATCATCACCACTATCACCATCAACATCACAATCACCACCATGATCAGCATCATCATCAGCATCATCGTCATCATCACGATCATCAGCCGCATCAGCATCATCATCATCATCATCACCATCATCATAATCAGCATCATCATCATCAGCATCATCAGCAGTAGCATCAGCATCATCATCAGCAGCACCACCCCCATCACCACCACCACAACCACAACCACTACCACCACCAACACCATCATCATCATCAGCAGCAGCAGGAGCAGCAGCATAATCATCATCAGCATCATCATCATCATCATCATCATCATCATCATCATCATCATCATCAGCATCATCATCATCATCATCATCATCATCATCGGCTGCATCATTACCATCATAACCATCAGCCCCAGCATCATCATCAGCAGCATCATCAGCATCGTCACAATCACTATCAGCAGCATGTTCGACATCGTGGTCGTCTTTGGCCTTACACTCATCATCATAATCGTTGTCATCATCATCACCACCAGCGTCATCATCATCGTCATCATCATCATCATCATCATCATTAGCCTCATCCTCGTCATCATCATCATCATCACCATCCTCTTCCCTATCCTCATCAGCATCATCGTCATCATCATCAGCAGTATCGTCATGATAATCAGCATCATCACCAGCATCATGATCTGCATTATCATCATCATCATCACCATCATCATCATCACCATCATAAGAACAATCATCATCATTATAATCATCGTCGTCGTCGTCGCAGTCGCCATCGTTGTCGCCGTCGACGTCGCTGTCGTCGTCGCCAGCGTCTTGATCGACATCGAAATCGGCATCGTCATCATCGTCATCGTCATGATCACCGTCATCAACATCATCAGCATCAGCATCAGCATCATCAGCAACAGCAGCATCAGCAGCAACAACAACCCCTCCTCCTCCTCCTCCTCCTCCTCCTCCTCCTCCTCCTCCTCCTCCGTCTCCTCCTCATCCTTCTCATCGAAAAAGAACATCTACAGAACCCTAGACCCTATCTGTCTGCGCCATTCTTCGAGCCTTGTCAATCTGTGATGGTCCCGGGGCCCGAAACCTGGCGGGTGGGGAGGAAGGCCTCCGGAAGGTTGCCTGGACCTCTAGAGGTACCTGGAGTCTCCCAAAGGTGTCACGGGGAGGCTTCCGCGTGTGTTCAGCGGCTTCGGAGTGGGAGGAGGGAAGGGGGACAAAGCCAGGCGCGGAAAGGTCGTTGTCGTCGTGGTCGTCGTCGTGGTCGTCGTCGTGAAAGTCGTCGTCGTCGTCGTCGTCGCCGGCGTCGTCGTTGTCGTGGTCGTGGCCATGGTCGTCGTCTTCGTCGCTGTCGTCGTCGCCGCCGTCGTCATGGTCGTGGTCGTGGTCATGGTCGTCGTCTTCATCGTCGTCGACGTCGTTGTCGTCGTCGTCGGCGACAGTGGCGTCGTCGCTGTCGTCGTCGCCGTCGTCTTGATCGACATCGAAATCGGCATCGTCATCATCGTCATCGTCATGATCACCGTCATCAACATCATCAGCATCAGCATCAGCATCATCAGCAACATCAGCATCAGCAGCAGCAACAACCCCTCCTCCTCCTCCTCCACCTCCTCCTCCTCCTCCTCTTCCTCCTCCTCCTCCTCCGTCTCCTCCTCATCCTTCTCATCGAAAAAAAACATCTACAGAACCCTAGACCCTGTCTGTCTGCGCCATTCTTCGAGCCTTGTCAATCTGTGATGGTCCGGGGGCCCGAAACCTGGCGGGTGGGGAGGAAGGCCTCCGGAAGGTTGCCTGGACCTCTAGAGGTACCTGGAGTCTCCCAAAGGTGTCCACGGGCCTCCCCAGGTGGTTTCCCGAGGCTTCCGCGTGTGTTCAGCGGCTTCGGAGTGGGAGGAGGGAAGGGGGAGAAAGTTTGGCGCGGAAAGGTCATTATCGTCGTGGTCGTCGTCGTGGTCGTCGTCGTCGTCGTCGTCGCCGGCGTCGTCGTGGTCGTGGTCGTGGCCATGGTCGTGGTCTTCGTCGCTGTCGCCGTCGCCGCCGTCGTCGTGGTCGTGGTCGTGTTCGTGGCCGTCGTCATCTTTGTCATCGTCGACGTCGTCGTCGTCGTCGGCGGCAGCGTCGTCGCTGTCGCCGTCGTCGTCGGCGCCGCTGCAGTCTTCGACGCACGCGCCGCTCTTCGCCCTCTGCCGCGGCCGCTGCGCCGCCCTTCGCCGCTGCGCGGTGGCACTCCTCCGGCACCGCCCGCCGCCGAGGAGAGCCGTGCGCCCTGCCCCATCCAGCTCGGACAGCGGATGACGGCGCGCGCCGCCTCGAGGGGGAACGTCGTCGTCGTCGTCGCCGTCGCCGTCGTCGTCGTGGTCGTCGTCGTTGCCGTCGTCAGCGTCGTCAGCGTCGCCGTCGCCGTCGCGGTCGTCGTCGTCGTCGTCGTCGTCGTCGTCGTCGTCGTCGTCGTCGTCGTCGTCGTCGTCGTCGTCGTCGTCGTGGTCTCAGTCGTCGTCGTTGCCGTCGTCGTCGTGGTCGCGGTCGTGGTCGTCGTCGCCGAGGTTTTTGCACGCTTTCGTTCTTTCTGGGCGGTTTCCCAGCCTCGAGGTGCGCTCCACCAGCGGCACCTCGCCGAGGGACGTCCAGGCCTGCCCGGCTCGTGCCAGACGGCCACCGGAGGCCCGAGTTATAGGCGCTGGAGAACCGCCCCGGAGGGAGGGGGGGGGCGGCTCGGGGGGGGGGGGGCAACCTCGACCTGGAAAAGGGAGACTGGGCCTGGACCTGGGGGGGCCTCCTCAATGGGGTCCTGGCAGATGGGGTCGGAGGATCGCGCCGCCTCGCCGATGCATCGGCGGCGTTGGCAATGCATCGGTGACTTCGGCATGGGGAGAATCGGGCTCCACATCGAGCCGCGTCGCCGATGCATCGGCGATGTGGCGCTCTCCTCCGACCCCATGTAGTATGTATGTGTATATATATAGATGTCAACAGATATCTACACTTCATATATTTATATATGTATAAATATGTGTATGTATATACGTGTATAAAAATCGGACACGATTTGGGAGGTCTGGCGATATGTCGCTGCGCCCTGTGCTCTGAACGCGCACAAGCATGAGGGGCAACGATAAGGGGAGCCTGGCACAGGGGGATGCATCGACCTGGAATCGGCGATACATCCCCGAAAGATCGGCGACAGGCCACCGAAAGTGAATCCGCACATTTCTGTGCAGGTTGGGGCTATCAAGCCCCGATCGGCGATCAATGGGCGATTGGGGGTCGATGCATCCCCCCCTATGCCTATCCCCCCGCTATCGTTGCCCCCGAAAGTAAGTCAGACGAAGCCGGCACCGCGGCAAACCCAACGGCAAACCGGTCGCGCCCTGGTGCCCGCGGAGCCCTCTCAGAGACGCAAGACCGCGCGTCAACACAGACGGTGCGGCGACAGATGTGCCCCCGATGGCGGATCCGCACGCTCCTGGACTTGAGCAGGGACCGACCGTCCTGGCATTCATGTAGTCCTACCACGAAATGTTCTTAGAACCCACAAATGTGCTATGAGCAAAAACAATGTTCTTAGAGCATAAACCCGATGCGATAAAGCAAGACAGACTCCGCCAGAAATGTTCTAAGAACATTTCGTGGAAGCCACAGAACAGGTTCTTAGAACATTGCTTGGTAGGCCTCTAGACGAGCCAGGGCGCTTCGCCACTGCTTGAAGATGTGCCCCCGATGGCGGAACCGTACGCTCCTGGACGGGGATGGCGCTAGCCCCAGTTATGCGACGCCTTGGCTGCCTCAATGCGGGACTCCCAGAGGCCCCGGCCTTTTCTCCAGAGGCGGCGTTCCATCCCGAGCCTTTGTCTGCTGCCGGTGCCAGGGCCCGGCGAGGGCCCTCGGATGCCGACCACGGCCAAACACTTTCCGCCGTGATCTTGCTCACGACACGAGCGCATGGCTGGGCCAGGCCCCGTAGCGGCGATGAACCGAGGCATCCGGCCCTGAGCCTGCCGTCCGAAACTGAAAGGGCCCTGGGACACACAAATAAATACACACAAATAACAGGATTCCCCATACTTTCCCATATTTTCTTGGTTTTTGTCTTCCCCCCCAATTCCCATATGTTTCCATATTTTCCTGGGGGTCGACGATGAATTGTGTCTGTGTGTTTTGTTTTCCCTCCTGAGAATCGCCGCGGCGGCCCCGGCGACACCCTGTGCCCTGCGAGCGGGGGCGCGGACAGCTCGCCGCGCCGAAGCGCGGAGGGCCAGATCCGGCGGAGCGACACAACGAGCCGAAGTTCCTGACCGCATCCCCTGCTGACT